GATTAGTTTTGCACATTAATTAATAAATTGGATTGGTTAACCAAGAAAAACATTTGTACATGCTGCTATACGACCTACATCAGAACATAAAAAACTAAGAATTTTAATAAAAAAATAGTTTTTATATGATTTTTAAATTAAAACAAAATTAAACGCCCTCTGAAAAATGTTTGTTTAAGTTAAAACTTGTAGAGGACTATTTAAATACTTTTTATGTAGGAAGGAAAAAAATAATAGAAAGAATATTGCCACCCTAATATACAGAGTGCACCAAGTATCCTTATATGTGTTTACCTAGTTCCAGGGCCGTCTTAAGCACCCCGGCAACCGGGCGTCCGCCCGGGGCGGCCATTTTTTGGGGGCGGCCGTTTAAGGGGCAGATAATTCAATGTGTCGCGACCAAAAAGTTAGTTCTTTTTCAAAACGACATAACTTTTTTGTTTCTTGAATGATTTTATTTTGGTCTGTGATGTTTGCTAGCCTCATCCTCTGGCAATTCATGCTATAGATATGAAGCTCACGGTTCTTCAAGAAAATTTCCTACATGGTGATATGTTAAACGGTGAAAAATTTCAATAACTTCATCCAAGCCCCGTTTGTAAAAAAATATTTTTTTTTTCGTTTTTTCTTTGAAATAATGAAGTATTATGTCTTACCTTGAAACATGTTTCAAATTTTTTTAATTGGAATCTTAGCAACGAAAATATGATTTTTTTTCCAAAAGAGTACATTTAAGGGTTTTTTAAAGACAATAAGCTCAGTTTTTTTAGGAATAAGAAGATAAGGTGGTGGAAGATTGTTTCTTAAATAATTCGGAACAAGCGACAAGCAACAAACTTCCATTCTTTTTAGAGGGCCTAAGCAAAGAACACTTTTTCAAAATAACATTTTGGTAAAAATTTGCGAAAACTAAACCTAAACCGATATTTACGTTCGTGACATGTTTTCTTCATAATTTTGACCTCCTGATTGTGATTCAGTTGTCAAATGTAAGTTTCAGATAAAACCAAAATCACCCAGAATAAAGATTCGAAAACAATTCCTGGCAGTTAAATGTCTCAATAAAATACGATTGCTGGTTTTTACTGTTTTTTACTGTGTTTTGCATCTTTAGTACGTTATTATCATGTCGCTGAATGATCAAATCAAGGATCAAATGATGAAAGTTAGTTCTTGAAAAACATTCAAAACGCATTATGAGGGATATTCTTGATTTTTTCAGTTTGCTTGTGTTTTTCCAAATTTCGAAGTTTTTTGCATAAGTTATACCTACCTACATACCTACCCCTATCTTACCCAGGTTACTTCCATTCTTTCTTAAAAATTTACCGTTGATTTTAAAGTTAAAATGCTACGCTACGGGAATTAACATCTCCAAATCAACGGTTCGCAGAAGATTGAAAGTTATTATTTTTATTGTTTGTTACATTTTTCTGTTTTGATTATGATTATAACTTCTCATAAAATTTTAAAATATTAACAAAAATATTTTTATTTAACTTTATTAACAATTAGGTTATGTAAGTTATGTAATATTATCCCAACCACTCAAATAAATTGCAGTAATTTGGCCCAACAAATGAATCCCCAAATGGCATTTTAATCATAAATATGCAACACGCCAGCAATCTGTTTTTATTAAGACATTTAGCAGCAGGGAATTGTTTTAGAATTTTGATTCTTGGTGATTTTGGTTTTATCTGAAACTTAAATTTGACAACTGAATCACAATCAGGAGGTCAAAATTATAAATAAAACATGTCACGAACGTAAATATCGGTTCAGGTTTAGTTTTCGCAAATTTTCACCAAAATGTCATTTTGAAAAAGGGGTCGTTGCTTAGGCCCCTCTAAAAATAATGGAAATTTGTTGCTTGTCGCTTGTTCAGAATTATTCAAGGAACAATCTTTCACCATCTTATCTTTTTGTCCTTAAAAAGACTGAGTGTATTGTCTACTCTTTTGAAAAAAACAATTATATTTTCGTTGCTAAGATTCCAATTTGGCTTGGATGAAATTATTCAAATTTTTCACCGTTTAACATATCACCCTGTATAAAATTTACTTGAAGAACAGTGAGCTTCATATCTATAGCATGAATTGCCAGAGGATGGGGCTAGCAGACATCACAGACCAAAATAAAAACGTTCAAGAAACAAAAAAGTTATGTCGTTTTGAAAAAGGACGAACTTTTTGGTCGCGACACATTGAGTGATGCGCAGTTTAGAAGTGCGGCTTTCTTAAATTTTAAAAGAAAGCCGCACTCGCGTGTTTTTGGACCTTAAGACCTTAAGAAGAATTTTTCCAAGCAACAATTGCTTAAGTATCGCGCAACAATTGCTTAAGTAGCGCGCAATCCTAATCAATATCGTGAAGAAATTTTTTTTATTTTTTTTTGTTTTTTATTTTCTGCGTACGGACTTGCATTATTTTTTTTAACTAAACCACCATAAGGATAGGATAGGTTGTTTATACCGCTTTAATTTGTTTTTTTGTAGGCCTTGATTCAATGATTTTTCGCTGAGCTATCGGGCTTTTAATGAAAATGGATAATTTTTTTTTATCATCGATATCTGAGAAACCAATAGTAGAACAAAAAATTGCAGGTCGGTTTTAGAAACTTAAATGAATGCCCTACAAGGTTCGGCTAATGTTTTTTTCAAAAAAAAATTTTCCATTCGTAACTTGATTTAGAAAAATCGTGAAAAAATGGGATTTGGAGGTTTTTGGGAAAATCACACGCGGAATGGAGATTATTTAAAAAACGGCTAATGTTAAGTGTGCCTTTTATAGTTCAATATACCCACAAAAACACTAGCAAGTTTCAATTTGATCCATCCAGCCGTTTTTTTGTTTCATTTGATTGAATTTTTGAAAAAATGAAATCACGCCTTGGCTTAAGGCCAGTAAGGAGGCCCTGCGGTCTTAAAGAAATCTTATTATTTTTCCATTTACATAAAGTTCTATTATTTTACGAGCAACCTCTAGTATGTCTCTGATTTCATACTGGAATATGGTCTTATAGATACCCAATTATAATAATAATAATAATAATAATAATAGTTTATTAATCCAACAGACAAAGTCTACATAAAGGATATAAATTGTGTACAACTTTTTTTTACAATAGACAGTATAACACAAAATTAATTATATAAGATAAAATAAAAAAAAATAAAAGAAAAAAAAATAAAAGTTCTTCCGATTAGTATTAGATGCTTAAACATAAAAAGTCTGGCGAAATCTAGAATTAACTCTTGGAGCGCGTTCGAAAACTCGCAAGGGTGCACTCTAGACACACTCCAAGTTTACCTTGCGCGTTCGAATTCTCTGGTATATACCTAGATATATGCAACTGTCAACTGTTCGAAAACAGCAAGTATATGTCCAGAGTGCACTCTCGGTTGTCCAAGCTTTAGACTTGGTTAAGTTTTACCCGTCATGCGCATAGGGTACTTCAAACAATAATTTGTATTTACCTTCATATAATTTATTTATATATGTTTAAAATTCAATAATACAAAAACTAATAACATTAAAATAAAAGAATTTATTTAAAATAAATTATTTAAAAATTATGTTCTAAAAAACAAAACAAAATCTATCACAAAAACTTGAATAAACCATATAACTAAAGGGTTAGAATTCAATAATTTAATATTTATATTTATTCAGTCAAAACCAATTGATTTTAGAACACTACATCATAAAGTTTATATATAGGTTTATGTTCCGCGGCGTTCGAAAATAACAAGGATGTCGGGTATAATGTAAAGTCACGTGATTATATACCTATCCTTATACCATATCCAAAGTACACTCTCATTTCGAACGCACTCTTGGTACATAAAAGTTAACTTAATATATATAATATCTTCTGGTGCCTAGTTGAGATGAAAATTGTGAAAATTAAGAAAAATATCATATCCAAAGTAAGTGATTTTGTTTACCTCTAAAATAACTAACTGGGATTTTTTTTTATTTTATGATATTATAAATATACAAGTATTAGGATACACGACAAGATAACTTTTGTTACATATCAGTCGATGCGTCACATTGATTAAACTAAGAAAAAATTGTATCATAGATCACTTTATTATTAAAAAAATCAGGTTTAATTTCCTTATTATTAAAGACAAATACAAAAGTGAATAATTCCTGAAAGTACAACCTCAGAATTGCCCATGTAATTCAATTTTCTAAGAATTTCCTAAAAGTCTTCTAAAATGAGAGTTGTTAAAATACAACACTAACTGACCAAGGAGAAAAAACAGATGAGGTATATTTTTTGCCTAGTCGAAAATCACCGAAAACAGTTTCCTGAGCCTTTAAAAGCATCCATTATGTCGTAGTTTTTTATAGGCATACGTATAATTATGAGCGACCTTTAAATGTTATCCGATTTTAAAAAGATGTTGTGTGTTACCAATTTAGATGCCATAGAATAAACTAAACTTGTGGAGACAAAATACTTCAGTTTTTTATTTTTTGGACCACCCCAATAAACATTATAACAAAATAGAAAAAAAATAGAAATAAAAGTTATTAATAAATCACAAGAAAGCAGATGGATTCCATAAAAATAGCTATAAATAATGTTATTATACCCAATTTTTACATAAAGTCATAACGTTTATATTGTATCATGTGGAGTAAGTTATTATTATTATTGGTTATAAATTATTTTTATGGGTAATTATTTTATACAACATTTACACCTATTTCTAAAACTATTTCACTAGAATGGCAACCATATAAAAATAATATCGGTTTTGATTAATTAATTTTTACACTGCCTACTGCTTGATAGGTAAAACTCTTATTTTTATAATTTCAGTAATCTAAAAAAGATTATACATTTCAAGGCATATAAAAATTAATATTAAAAAATATTTCACTGCATGAAATGCATTTTTAAAACGTTTCGTCAAACACCCCCTACTTGTGAAAAACATTAAACGTATTTTAAAAATTTCGAATCAATAAAATAATACTTACCGATCCACGTGCGGTCCAAGTAAATTGAGACGAAGGACGGGGGTATCGTGAAATAGTCGACGAACGAGTACATTTCTAGCATGAACCATAATTTATCGCTAGCTGCTATAAACTGTAAAAAAATAATTATTAGGGATAGAATTTAAGTTTTTTAAAGTAAAATTATTGGTCCAATTTTAATCTATTTAATGAGTAAACACGTTAATTCAATAATAATAAGGAGAGCACTTAAAATGAAAGATGGCGTAAAACAACAGTTATTAAAAAGAGTTTATAATTTTTAACAAAAATTTTCTTAATTTAAGTCTAAAATTAAAAGTGTAAAAACTACACTTTGGCGTACACGCTTCCACAGGTATAAATTATATCGTATAATGTAATAGTATATTAAAGAACTAATGTCATAAGAGGTCATTTTGTCGCACGAGAACAATTTATACAATTTTGTAATGGACGAGTGCGACAAAAGGTCTTATGACATGAGTTCTTTATGCTATTTTATCTATTTTGCAAAAATTCTATAAAAAAATTTAATTTAATACCTTATATATAATTTATGTGGGTTAAAGGCATAAGGGGATAAGTCAAAAAAGCAATTTTTTAGCAGTGCCTTAAACGTGTTCGCATTAATTTAGGAAATACATTTATGGTTAGCGGGTATACCCTTTTGCCAGCACATGTCATATGCTAGCAAAAGGATATACTCGCTAACCATAAATATATTTCCTAAATTAATGCGAACACGTTTAAGTCTCTACCGAGAAATTGCTTTTTTTGACATATCTCCTTATGCCTTTTACCCACAGATTTGGTCAAATTTTACTTTAGATAGTTGCTATTACAGTCATTGGTTTAAAGGGTTATGTCAAAATCGATTTGCCATGGCGTCCTTAATTTACTTATTTACAATAAGCGGCTGTTAATGATAAAGACAAAAAAAAGGATTTTCTTTGGTGTTAAACAAAATTTATTGCCAGAAAAGTCTCGAAAGTACTAGAAAAATCATAAAAATACTATAACCAATATGCAAAATATTTTATTTCATACTGTACTTTAATGTGCCATTTCCCGGACTCATTTGAGTCCGGGAAATAATACATTACATCACTAGGCCGGTAAAGTAACTTTACCGGACTCGTATATTTTAACTAGCACATGGTTATTTCTGAACGATTATTATTTTTTGCGCCATTTACAGAATATCTCGTATTCCTTTTGATATCATCCGGAAGACTTGACCGGGATAAGTTTCGCCGTCGCTTCAGAACTTTCAAAACCACAGATTCAAAACGATGCTGAACTGACAGACAAGACAATCAATAAAAAAAACTCTTTGTTACTGTTAGCAACCGATTTAAAGCATACTACATTATCACCCTATATTACTGGTGCTACATTTTATAGTTTGTTTAGACAATACTGATACCATCATGTACTGACACATTATTGACACCTTCACCTGAATATACAGTTCAATTTTTGTACCAAAAATTTGAAAAAAATATTGAATAGTATGAAATAAAACATTGTACGATACACGGCCGTGAAATGTCATTAAAGTACTTGTCTAGAAATTCCAGACTCGGCTCCTTCGTCGCCTCGTCCGTAAACATCTGACTCGTACTTTAATAAGCCATTTCCCGGCCTTGTAACGTAAATTACTAATTTTACTAGTATGCTGTTTAAAGTAGCCAACCTATAAAATACAAAATTTTGGGTGGGGTAAAGTACCTCATTACAGCACCGAAAGCTGTGTTACAATAAAGTCATTATGAACGCAAAATAGATAAAATTAACTACTAAACTTTCCCAATAGTTAAATGATATAAAAATAGTAATTTTTTTATCATTTTATGTAAAAAATGGCGAATGCGCCGGGATAATAAATTAGTTCCATAAAGGGGGTAGCGGGTTAAGGGGGGTCTGGCGGCCCCCACCGAATCTGGTAAAATCGTTCCAAAAATCTTGAAGAGGGTCGAAAAACAAGCAGTATAAGCTTTTTACCGACATTACAACCCCAAACGAAAACACAGTAATGGCGAAAAATATGATTTTTTGTGATTTTTATTTTTTTCAACCAGTTTAATTTATTTTTAAATGGTTTAAACGCAATTAAAAATTTGTTTTGAATGTATGGTAGTCCCCTGAATTTTTTCAGATTTTTTGGTCAAGTAAAAACATGTGAATTTTAGGTTTAAATGCGAAAAAATCGTGAAAAACGCGTCATTTTCAAGATTCAACCCTCTAATTTTTAGGGTTGTTTTCATTTTCCCGAGGGGTGCTGTATAGTATAGATAGCGGCAATCGTCCTCTTTTGAATGCAGGCAACTGGACTTAATTTGGTCAATTCTGGTGAGCGGGGCAATTTTTTGAAAAAAACTCGAATTTTCAACTTTCGGTAAATTACGGCGCGTACTTGGTATAATGCGTCTTTGCTATAAAAAATACATCTCTATAGAGGTTTTTGAGGTCGCTGATCACGAATTTGATGTCAAAAAATTTTTTTGACAACAAAGATATTTGTCGCGAATTATTCGTCCAGCACAGATTCTCACAAATATTTCTCTGTTCAAAGCGTTGAACATGTTATTGAAGAAGATAGTGACGAGGATTAAAACTGTAAAATTGTTAACTTAGCTCTGTAAAAAAGAATTATGCTATTTTATATTACTGTGTGACTATTACGTAAGCTTGAATAAAATATGATTTATACCAGAAAATTTAATTTCATTGATTATATTAGTTGAACACGATATTAAAATTGTTTAAATGCTGTGATTCAATGATATTTTTTACATTATCAAACCTGTGTTAATAAATATTTATGGGTGAATTTGTTGTCAAAAAAATTTTCAACTTCGTGATCAGCGACCTCAAAAACCCCTATAGAGATGTATTTTTTATAGCAAAGACGCATTATACCAAGTACGCGCCGTAGATTACCGAAAGTTGAAAATTCGAGTTTTTTTCAAAAAATTGCCCCGCTCACCAGAATTGACCAAATTGAGTCCAGTTGCCTGCATTCAAAAGAGGACGATTGCCGCTATCTATACTATACAGCACCCCTCGGGAAAATGAAAACAACCCTAAAAATTAGAGGGTTGAATCTTGAAAATGACGCGTTTTTTACGATTTTTTCGCATTTAAACCTAAAATTCACATGTTTTTACTTGACCAAAAAATCTGAAAAAATTCAGGGGACTACCATACATCCAAAACAAATTTTTAATTGCGTTTAAATCATTTAAAAATAAATTAAACTGGTTGAAAAAAATAAAAATCACAAAAAATCATATTTTTCGCCATTACTGTGTTTTCGTTTGGGGTTGTAATATCGGTAAAAAGCTTATACTGCTTGTTTTTCGACCCTCTTCAAGATTTTTGGAACGATTTTACCAGATTCGGTGGGGGCCGCCAGACCCCCCTTAACCCGCTACCCCCTTTTATTGTTTTATTTCAGCGTATTTACTTTATTTTCGTGATAGATAAGAAACACGCAAATACGGAAAACGCATTTATTTAAATTATTCTTTTATTAAATGTGTTAGGAACACTGCGGTATATCGTGTCAACAATGTAGATTTTATGGATTTATTAATTTTTTTAAAGTTTCGTATGCGGATAAAATTGTAATTTTAATTATTATTTATATAAGTTGGCATCTTTAAATAAAATTAAATGTTTGTGCTTATATTAAAAATAAAATATTCTTTTATTATTGAAAATTGCATACAAACTCTGTATTTTTTTATTTTTTTTATTATTATTTTGATCACAAGGTTCTTTTGCTTTGGGTATTATTTTTTTTCCTCGATTAGGAATTTTTTATATGAATTCAATTTTATTGCGAATTCCTTGAAAATATTTTGTTTTTGGGTAATGGAAATAATTTGTTTGTGCTATAATACGAGTAGTAGTCATAGACGTGTTTTGTAGATTTTATTGATTTAGTTTGTTTTGTTACACTGTTTTTTAAAATAACAGAACATGGATTTAAAAAAGGTTTTTTTACGATTACGGAATGTCTATATATACAGTGTGTCGCACTTAAGATGAAGACACCCCTATATTTTTGCTATTTGAAGGAATAAAGGTTTAAATTTTTTCACATTCATACATGTTGATGGGTCACATTTTTTAAGCTACTCAACTAAAATCTGAACTTTAAACTTGGCCTACTACAAATTCACAAACAGGGCCAGTTCTCGATATTTTGCTTCGCGTTAGAGATATCGAAAAAAGTTATTGGAAAAAGTTGTTCAGAATATTATTCTAACCCCATATACCAATTCGCATTTTTAATTTTTTTTTATTTTGGTCCACACAAAATTATTACAAGTTCATTTTTTACTTTGATAATAAGGGAGCAATGGAAAGTAATAATTTGATACTAACTAGTGTTTATGACCGTTAAATAAATAATTAAAACAATTTTTGGAAATTACAAATCAATTATAATTTATTAAATTAAGGAAATGGTATAAAACAATAATAAAACTAATAAAAATAAATAAATTAGAAATGCGAATTTTGCTATGAAATATAGGTATACGGGGTTAGAATAATATTCTGAACAACTTTTTCTAATCATTTTTTTCGATATTTCTAACGCGAAGCAAAATATCGACAACTGGCCCCGTTTGTGAATTCGTAGTAGGCCAAGTTTAAAGTTCAGATTTCAGTTGAGTATCTTAAAAAATGTGACCCACCAACATGTATGAATGTGAAAAAATTCAAATCTCTATTCCTTGAAATAGCGAAAATATGGGGGTGTCTTCATCTTAAATGCGACACACTGTATATATATTATATATATTTATCCTGAATCTTGAATGTTAAAACTTTTAATGTGGGATCAAAATATTATATTAAATAGATAAATTTCCATTTAGTTAATATATAAATATTAACTTAAAATAATAATATCATATTATGATTAATTTCTGTTTTTATAAAACCAAATTTAAAACGCTTATTATCGTACATGTTTCCATGACACACTGTTTAAAATATCTGTAGTGTAAAGAGTAATGATGTCAAAATCCAACACCAAGTGGTGTTAATTTAACCACCATGAATTATGGTGGAAATATTATATACAGCAAACACCAAAACGGAGTATTGTTCAGTTTACTAAATATGTTGTTTGTAAAATAAGAGTTACTTCAACCTAAAGCACTCTGTTAAAACGATTAAAACAATTTGCCGTGCATTCCCGGTTGCATAGTGTGTACCGATCGCGGCAAAGGCGGTGTGGATCACGTGATGTTCTTCAATCTCGCCTCGGTTGACTTACATGAAGAGTAAATAAGCTCAGGTAGTCCTTTGCACTACAAGTTGTTCAATACTAAAGAGACCTTAAATAGGTGGAAACAGCTGTCAATACTTGAAGTATTTTAAGTTGGTGGAATGCTCTAAAAACATTATCTCTAGCGAGTTGAAGGTTCAATTTTCTGGAATAATACCACTGGTAATATACCAGTAATGCGTCAAGGACCTTTTTTTCTTTTTTTCTGTGTAGTATGATTTAATTTGACCAAAAACACATAATATTTAACACTGAAAAGGAGTTCAATTTACACCAGGTAAAATTTATTTTAATACTGTGTGAAAGTTAAATTTACACTATTTTAGTATTTAAATTTACACCGGACCAACGAACCATATTTAACACCATTTTGGTTTGTATCGATATAGACCATGTATGGTGTTAAGATGGTCATGAAATTTTGAACAGTGCACTAAGTGACCTTTTAAATACACTTAAATACAGCCCGTGACTAAAAACCTGTTGCTAAATTCAGCCCGTGACTAAAACGCCATAAAGCCACAACTTCTTTATGTGTATTTAAAAGGTCACTAGTGTTATGAAAACATTTACGATTATGGGCGTTTTAAAGGTGGGAGTGGAAAAAATGTTTTAATTTTGTAAAAATATGTTTTAAACGCCTGTTTTTTACCTTGACAGAAAATTTCAAAAATTAAGGGGGCAACATACGACATTGAAATCTATTTATAAAAAAATGTGAGATTTGGTAAAGACGAAACTTAAAAAAAAAATCCTACACTGTGTTTAAGGTTTTTAAAGCCACCAATGAGAGCGCAATGTTTCCGCTCTATTGTGCAAGTTTTGTTATATTTTTTGTGTTTGCAAAACACGCTGATATTTTGTTATTGAAAAAAATAAACAAAAACAAATTCAATGCTTGTTGTTGTAAGCGCACAGTCAAAAGGTGGCTTGATCTATAGAGCAGAAACAGTGCGATCTCATTGGCGGCCTTAAAAATTGAATAAAGCAAAACTTAAAAAGGATTAACATTTACCCTTTGAAAAGCTAATTTTGTGATGCTATCAATTTTGGGACACCCTCATTGCCAAACCTAAATATTAAATAGCTCCTGCAATTTTGCTAATTTAAAAAAATGGCAAACAAAATTTGTTTGTCTTGATCACAAAGCAAACTATCTGAGATTTAATTTAAAAAGCTAAAATATTTTTTAAATTAATTTAAAAGCGTTTAAGCCCTTGGGTGCATTAAAATTTAAAAACATCATACCTTGTACCTTTTAACTTGTATATCAATATATCGCCTATTAAATTTTCCTGATTAAAACTTACTTACTTTATAAGCATAAAAATAAATTATTTATCCATTATATAGCGTTATTTTATAAAAAAAAATTATCTAATATTTTTAAGTCGGAAAATAAATTTAAAGACGGTAAAAAAATAAAAAATAAAAAATTTATATTTAAAAGCTACTTAGCAAATACTTACTCGTATAAAAAAATAGACCATAAAAAATATGTTAAAGGCAAGGTCAATTTGTTGAGTGATATTGTTGCTCCACTCCTGGCATCTTTCCACGCCGTCACTGAAATCAATATAAAACGTCACTACATCTTTTTATACTACTAATTTATTTTTGTAACACAACAGTTCATACGTCTTTAATTTCTACCTATTTTTTCAACATAACATTTTACCTTCTATTTACGTTTTTATTACTTTTTAATAATAAAAAATACATCTAAAAGACGGATCTCGGTATCATGTTAATTGAATTATTCTTTCAGAGATGCGTCTTTAAATTATAAAATCGACAGTACGGCCAAATACATACATTAAGATTTTTTTATACGAGACATACACAGACAAAAGCTATAGCACATTTACGGTTTGAAATTAATAAAAATCCACGTGCTTTTATAAAGGGTCCCTCAAATTTTTTACACGCCAACTCTTGTTTAAAAAAACTAATTAAAGCAGATTTAAATGTGACATAAATAAAGAATATTTTTTTGATCAGTGAAAAATATCTTATTTGTATAATTAAAATACAATTAAGACTAACATTTTTACCTATATTTATCCTTTATATATAAAGCCCCCAATTTTAAAGCTGGCTTAATGAGTGGTTTTTTAAATAAAAAGGGGCGATATAAATTTTATGGACCCGGTATAAAATAAAAATAAATCTAAGTAGCAATGAATATTTATTTCTAAAATAGTTATTATTTTTCTAATAATTTCACATTTTGAACAAAATAAGAGAAATTCTGTTTCCAGCATTTCAAGTATTAATATTTATTTTATTTAATATGTACAGGGTTTTGAACTTATAAGGTTGGCTTGATGTTTTAAGATTAAGTGAATTTTTTCGTTTGATCAAAAGTTTAATTATTAAAAAATAACACTTAATAATAACATTGTTACTTATAAAAATTTTGTGATCCATACAAAAAATACTTATCTGAAAAAGGCGATATAATTATAAAAATTGTATTTACCCAGCAGAATAACTAAAAAATAAAATATAAAAAAATTACTTAATTTGTCGGTATAATATTTAACATGTTGACATTACAGAGTTATACAGGGTGTTCTAGAAATCAAGAAAGAAAATTGCATAGTAAGACGAGTCCTCCAAAGAATATTTATAAAAATTTAAAATACACTTTGCGGTTAATGTTTTAGTATACATACATGTACACGTACATGTATACATGTACGTATACATGTATGTATATGTATATATAAGTTAATTTAAATATATTTATATATTTAAAATTCCTTAGGGCTATTTTCTTACTACTTAGTACATTATATTACTTGAATTTTAAAACGCCTAGTATTAAAATATATGTTTTATTATGGTCAACACTTGTACATGTATGTATACTATTTTCTAATATAATTTAAAAAAAAGTAATTGACCTTTTAAAATTACTTACTTTATTTTAATGCAAATTCGATTAATAATAATTATGTAAAAATATTCACATGTGTGTAAATGTAATAATTGTTAATTTTGTTAAATTTTAGGCCAAATCAACTCTTACGATTGTTTTCTTATTGTGTAACTTGGTATAGTAATAAAAATTACCCAGCTGTGTAACTAAAAATAAAAAAAATAAAATAGTTTAAAAACAATGTTTCCATAGTTTTGTCGCATTAGAAAAATATATTTTCGTTTTAACCGTTCTAGGTAATTAATTATTAATAATTTTGTTTAAAACATAAAAAAATATATGTCTATATATATATTATTCCATTGCGACTACAAAAGGTTTTCTGAAGAAATTGCAACTTTTAATTAATTAAATAAAAACGAACAATAATAATTAACTTACTTTGATGCATCTATGAAGTATATTACTAATGATGCTATGCTTAAAATGAAGACTAAGACCACCTAAAACAAAAAGAAAACAACATAAATATTTCAAACCCAGTGAAAATAAAAATCAATATTGTTTTTCCATCGCTTTGAAACTTAATAGCGCAGACCTAATTTTATCAGAGCTAATTAAGTAAGTGCTTTTATTAACTATTTTCTTCAAGCAAAACAATATTCTAATAATGGTTTAAACACATATGTATCAGTATGTTAAACTATGTTTGATAATGTTTACAAAGAAATGAAAGTATTTATATGAATGTTAATTTAAATATTTTAAATATGATAAAGGGCATATGCAAGCAAAAAAGTATTGGGTACCTAAAAAAACAACATAATTTAGATCATTTATTTATATACCGGGTGTATCTGAGAATAGGCGCACCCCTGTAACTTTTTTATTTATAAAGATACGGAAATGATACCAACTTTCGATTTTTAAATGGAATGGCCTATATATTTTAACATATTTGGAATCCTGAGGAAATTCTGAGTCAGGCAGCATCCTCAAATTGACCTTTTGACGTTTCGTCATCAGAAAATGTATCATCATAAAGATCAATCTACAGTGCTTTGAACTATATTATTTTCTTCTAATGGATTCACACAATGCCTGAAAAATGAAACTTTCCTTAGAAAGTTGTTATTCAGCTATTCCCAGCAGTCTAAACTTGTTAAAATTAGTTTTTTTGAAATAGTTCAAAGCACTCTAGATTGATCTTTATGATGATGCATTTTCTGATGACAAAACGTCGAAAGGTCAATTTGAGGATGCTGTCTGACTCAGAATTTCCTCAGGATTCCAAATATATAAAAATATATAGGGCATTCCATTTAAAAATCGAAAGATGGTATCATTTCCGGCAAAACCGAAAGTTCAAAAAATTCATTTTGTACTCTTATAAGTGGCATTTTATATCCTTATTAACCATGCTAAATTTCATGTGTATATCTTTATAAATAAAAAAGTTACAGGGGTGTGCCTATTCTCAGATACACCCGGTATATATATATATATATATATATATATATATATATATATATACATATATACAATTTTGTTCAATCAGCTAAATCGCGCACGTTATTTGTGTTTTACGTAGCAAGGAAAAACTTAAAAAACTTTTTAAGTACTTGATTTCGATTGATTATTCCTTATATCATTGATTAAGAAACTCAACGCTTAAATACTTATATGGTTACGTTAGTGTGTGTATTTTATCAAAGGGATCATGGTGAATTAATGTGTTTTAATTGTAAATAAAGTTCAAGAACTAAATCGTTGCATTTTCATGTTTTGCCGAAGGATCCAATTCGGTAAGTACATTTATTGGTGCAGAATTAACTAATGATAACTTTACCTAATATAATTTATATTTAAGTTTGGACATTTTTAAGAAATTGGTAAAAAATAATTTTTGCATAACATAACCTTAAAATCAATCATTTTTATATTTGATTCTCTAAAAAACACCGAAAACTGCATTTTAAACAACAAAATATACCTACGAATTCATGACAATATAATATTATATATAATAGGTATATAATATAATGGTATTTTACCGTTGAGTGGAGACTTTAAAGAATTCTTAATCAACGCTTTTAATATTGCTAAATGCTGTTTAAATTTAGATGACTTATTTGTTTGACGATTTTTACTGAATTGAAATGTTTACACTTTTCACGTTAATCATTTTTAAAATGTGTATTTATTGTATCTAATAGGTACAATTTATATTTACAGAGACTGTATGCAATTTATTTCTTCATTCAGATTAACACTGTTTATTGGAAAACCGATAAAAACTCAACCCAGGATTTCCTCTCGAAATACATCCAACAACACAACAAATCGATCCACGGTTTTTTTTTCGATATTTTTTAACATTATTCGGCTTTATTCTCAAAAACACTCCTTTGTAACCTAAGCGTTTGACAGCTGATTATTAAAAGTTCTACTTTTGTTACGATGATAACAGCCGAGTGTTGGCGCTACTAGCGATACTTCTTTAGCGTATTGTTTAATAAAATATTTATAGACAATATTGTATCTCGCTGAAATATATATAAGACATAGATATAGATAAGATTCCTTTTCTCAATACGAATGAATAAATGGGCAAGCACAACATCGAATTCGTATCAAAATATACACACTGCAAATAACACACTGCTTTAAACCAATCAGAATTAAGGGGCGCGTCTAATTTGGCGCCAGTTTAAAAATATTAATTTTGCTTGTTTAAACTGAATTATTTAATTTACTTTTTAAACCATACTTATTTTACAAATGCAAGAATCCAAATCCAATACAAATTCCACCAAACTCAAAATATGATTTAAAAAGCAAAAACCTACGAAATCGTTATTTAGCTATAGCCTATAGGTTATTAATTTAACCTAGGTATATATAGGTATGGGTATTAACTTAACCTAGGTATATATAGGTATAGGTATTAACTTAACCTTAAAACCTAAACATAAACAAACCATCGGCCTTCTTTGGATGAACCGATTCGGCTATCTCGGCCTATCACTCTGATTGGTTGGGAAATAGTACCTATTGCGCTTCATTTCAATAAAAGCAGAAAATAGGTTGTGTTTGAGATTTTAATATTTTTTAATATTTGGCGTGTAGTGTGTACAATTTTGGCATTAATATTAGTGTCCAAACAAAAGGTCTAAATACATTAAAACCTTCGTAAGAGGCGGCCAACTGATTTAAATATTTCTTGAAATAACACATTAACTAAACTTTAACACGTTAAACGCCACGGCGATTTTGGTGATTTTGTTTATTGGGCCAAGTTGATATTTTACTTGTATCATTTTAAAAAATAAAATCGTCAAAATACAGATTAAAAAATAAATAATTAAAAAACTCTTGTATCTTCGTCAGCCGTCAGGGCCAAGCGGTCCTATGCATGCTTTAAAATACCTTATACGAGCGGTCCGCTGGCCAGAAAATCATGTTAAACTGTTAAACAAAAAATTGACAGGCGGTCCCTAGGGACCGCCGTGGCCTGGATGGAAAAACTATTAGCGGTCCCCTGGGACCGCCGTGGCCGTTAACGTGTTAATAATTCGATAGTTTGGTCACTTGTGAGACATATAACGCCGTTTACTTGACTGGTTATAGAGATGTTTGATACTTTAATTGGACGCAAATATATTATTTTTGGTCTTCATTTTAACTGTCGTGTATAACTGCAATTTCATTTTAATTTGGCATAAGAACATCGTGTTTTAATTAAATTAATATCAAATTAACGTTAGTAAATATGACGCCATATGTTCCATAATTATTTAATTCGATATATAAAATGTTTTGCAAAAAAATAATATATAAATAGAATTTACTACAATTTTGCTTATATATATTTTAAAATGTAAGTTTTATATAAGTTGATAAAATTCAAAAAAATATATTTATATTGAATTAAGCACCATGCAAAGTTCGATATAAAACTTTTTTAGTTTGAAAAGTCCCCGAGCGATGGCTAGAAGTTCATTCATTTGTGCCTAAATATTTACAAATTATTCAGATTGAAAGTACATCGGAATCAAACCGTTTTATAAATAAAAAATATTAAAAAGAACAAAATATGCAGCATTAAAAAACCAATTAATTATGTTAAATTTTATTAGGGTTACCCTATAGGGAATGTTATTAAATTTAAATTAACAACTAGATTAATAGATAACTTTAAGATTCCACCTAGAAAAACAATATAAACCTTACCTTTAACATAGTTTTGTATTATAAATGCAGTAACACTTTAATATTTAAAACATTGTTTACGATAAAAGTAAACAAAATATACATAATTATTCACTTAGGCATAGTACCAAAATTGTTCTTGTGTTAAATTAAATAAGTGAATCTGATTGGTTGAAATCATTTAACAGTAATAAAAATAACATAGGCGATCCATAATAGCTAATAGCCCTCAATATGTAATCATTGTGTACCTTAATTATTATGTATGCGTTATTTTGTTAATTATATATAATTAATTATAATTATAAAATAAATATTTAATGTTTATGTAGCTTAATTTTTACTATTTTATATTACTTTTTCAAACACCATTAAATAGCATTTTTTTATTAAAGCCATCTGGATAAAAAATACCATGAAAATAATTCCATATTCTATACAATTTTTGGTATTTTAAACCATTGTTTCTACCTAGCAAGGCAAATACACACAACTTTTCTTTATATATTTTTTAGTTTATATTGAGAACATTCCGTTTTTCGCCAAAAATGGGAAATTTTCATAATTAAGATGGTATTTTCTGCAATTTGGATACTTTTTTTATAATTTCGCATTTCATATTTAAATCAATATTTATAATTACTTTAAATATACACCAAATCAAATTTTCATAGCATGGTAGAAAATTCACATTTTCAGTTAAAAGAAGCGTAAATGTAGCACTAAAAAAACTGTATTTGTAAAAACATTTGTATAATTTTAGGCATATATTTAAAAAGTATTATAAAATATTATATTATATAAAGGGATTTCTTAGACACCGATTTGGTAATTTTTTATGCAAACGGCTCAACATGGCCCTACCTACTTTATCAGGGTGTTTAAATAAAAAAATAATATTGTGGTTTTTGTTCATCCTAAGCATTGGTCTCCACACCCTAAAAGTTTTAAAAAAATCCAATAGGGTCAGCTTTTAATTTTTATCAAAATTGGCGAAAAATGATAGAATGACTCTACTATTATACAAATAAAATAATATAATAATATAAAGTAATAATATAAAGTACTTTTGTTTTAATTTTATGTTAAATTCCTATTTATCTTTAACATTCTTACTAATTTATGATGCATTTGTATGGTGACAACATTTATAAGACGTGTTAAATATTATATTTAAATCATTTTTCGATATATTAAACTTTTAAAATTTTAGACTCATTGGAGAATAGTATATTCTGTAACAAGTTTGAAATACGGTATATTCCGCTCGAGTGTAAAGTTTGTCACACGA